CCAAAACAGCTCACATACTAATTGAGTTTACATTCTGTGATGCAGTTATACAACTCGACATTTTTCCTAGAGCTTTCGCTTTTAAGCACAGCATCAAAGGGCCCCACCAGGCGTTAAAACTTTTGGTCGCAGCTGCTGACAACTAACTGCCACGCGAGATCCGAATCTCGTCCTCCTCGTACCCACGGTCCTCCCTTTAAACCAATCAGGGCAGCCCAGAATGTAAACGTCACTCAGGAGTGTCTGGCTGGAGCAAGACGCAAAATATTGTTTTGCAAAAAAAATCTCTCAGAGAAAGTCGGTATTATCTAGGCCCATCAAGGGTTATTTCTGAGGGGGGAGGGCACATGTAAGTTTAAATACAGCCACACACGCATGGGAGAGCAGGAGGGCGACGGCCCAGTGTCAGCAGAAACCGTTTCCGAAGGGTCTGTATTATTTGGGTCCATTTTTCTGCTTTCGAAACACGGCTTCCCAGCTGCCAATAAAAATTCCTCTTTTATTACCTTTTTACTGCAGCATTACGTAATCCCTGCATAACCAAAGCCACTTGTGTTCAAATAATGATCATTTCTGTGACCTGCTGCATAATTTAAAAGAGGTTTTTTACACCCAAGCCCTCCGCCCCAAATCTTATGTACGGACGCAACGGAGGAACTGCTTAAGTGCATAAGCGATCGCATCCTGGCTGGCTACTAACCGGAGAGGCCTTCGTCTTGCCGTCCTACTCCCGCCAGCTGCTGCCTGCTCACGGCCGAGATCATGGTACTTTTCCATATCGCTAAACACCCAGCACGGGAAAACCGGAATGCCGGGATCGGGCAGGAGCAAGCAGCTTGTTACTAGGCCTCGTCGTGATTCCCGTGAACTACAACGGCTGCATGGCCCCAGGATAACAGGGTGTTGCCACCTCAATTAGGCTTTGGCACAAAAACATTTTCTCCAGAGAACTGCAGGCCCCCACCCCCTTACATTTCCTCTGCAGCCTGCTTCTCTGGAAATCACCCTTCCTCATAGATGAAGCACAGCCCAGAAGCGTAGGCCCAAAGGAGGCTCCTGGACGTGTGGGGGCAATTTGTTTTTACACGTGCCACACAGACCCTGCTCTTTGCGTCTAGTATTGGGGCAAACACAGCAAAAGCGACAAGGGTACCATGTGGAGCACCGGCGTGCCAGAAGAATGACGCACAGATTAAGAGCAAATACAGCTCTGTAAGGCCAGTTTGCCACCATTTACGTGATGTTATTTAGTTGCTTGGCAACCTCTGAGCTTCCGAGTTACAGCTAAAGAACGATGGATACCAACGTCATGACATAATTCGGACAGGATCGGGGAACCTGCGAATGTCAGTCGGCCTCGTTTGTCATTCCGTGATCCAAGGCTGAACCCGCTTTCCTAGCGGCTACACCCAGCGCAATCAATCATGATGTATCAACCAACAGTCAGAAACTCTAAACATCCTCTTAAGACTTTAAAAAGAAATGTTGTTCTGACTAGTTTAAAAAATATGCAAAAGTCCTTTAAAATGAAGCCTTCTCAGTTCACTAAATGGTAAACTAATCAACAAAACTTTCACTGGGCAATCGTTTAATGACTTCCAATCTGGGAAAACGTTAACGGAAACTGCGTTGAGAGAATTTCATACATTTAAACTAACCTACATTACACATTTACAGCCAACTAACTGATCCACGACTAACCGACTAGCCTACAAATTACTTTTTAAATGACTTTAGAGCAACCGACTGAAACGCAAGTTAGTATATTAACTTTACTGGCAAAACGTGAAAATATTTCGGCGACTTGATCTGGGTCTGAAAGTGGACGCTTGGGTGGGATTTTAAAGTATGCGAGACACAGTAAGGAATTTCTTTAAATCCCCCCACCCCCCGGTCTTTCCAAACTCCGGTATAAACTGCAAAAGCCATTAAACAAAGACCAAACAGGGCCGAATTCGGCAATTACTTGACATATATGAAACAAAACAGACAATTAACGAAACCGATCCCGAGGCTGCTCTCTCTCACCTAACCAACAACAAAAGATTTAAGGGGGAAAAAAAGAAAGTCAGCGCTCAACCCACCCCCTCCTTTTTAAGATTAAATCTCCCACTTAATTTACATGACCATTAGAGCCCACAGAGGATGTTACAAATTTCATGCGGTCCCTTCTGTTGAGTTAATTGATCGGACGATAGAACCGGGTTTCCAGAACCGCGACCGAAGCGGCGATCCTTTAAACCCAGGCTGGCCGGCAGCCCGTAGCCCTGCGCCGTGTTGTATTTGTTTATTGCTTTTGTTCCTGTTATCGTACAACCCGCTACAATTGCTTCCTGATCTAATAACCCTAAAATTAACTCTTACACCGAGCTCCACCAGCGATCGTTCAATAAATTAACGTCGACACAGGTAACGCGCAAAGTTCAAAAGCTCGTTATTTTTGGTAGCGACTTATTTAATACTGTCAAATTCAATCCTCGGTGCAATATACTTCACCAGCGGACAAATAAATAAGAAAATCTCTGCTTTTAAACAATACACGCCCTACGGGCAGAAATCACATCACAATAAATAAAAGAAAAATAAATAACAAAAACAAAGTACAGAATTTTAAGCACTAGTCTCAAACACCACGGATTGAATAAATGTTTCTTAACGGGCTGTCTAATACACTTTAGTAACTTTTTACAAAGAATTTTCTTTCAGAGCGGGGCAACTGGCAGGCAAAAAAGTGTGATCCAAATAGAGAAGAGAAGTAAGGTGTTAAAGAGGACAGTTAAGTAAGATCACTGGGTGTGTATAAATGCAGGTGAGGAGCAGAGGCTTACCGTTGACCCCCTGGTTGGGAACATCGTTCAGATTGAAGCCTTTGGAGCCGTACGCAGTCTTCACCTCGTTGCAGCTTTTGGATTTCGGCTCGGCTTCCACCGACACTAAGATCGCAGTCAAAGTGCAAATTGCGGACAGAACAAGCGTCGCCTTCATGGTGGAGTTTCAGCTTACGTGGAGGGGAAAAAACGTGGACGATAAAAAAAATACACGTTTAGATTTAAAAAATGTTACTAATGCGGAGTTTCAGCCCCCAAGTTGTTGATCCTCATGGAGTCGCGCTGCTGCTTAGCTCTTGTCCGCCGATCTCCCCATGCGCTTCCTCACTATACTGACTCGTTGGTTAAGTGGATTGTTTGGTGCACAGTCCCCCACTGTCTTCGAAACTTGGTTGTTGAGTGTTAAGTTACTAATAACAGCAGGAGTCAAAAATCAGACGCGAAAACCATCTGTAGTATACACCGCTTCCCGTTTCTATGTCTCCGCGCAGCGCCTCTTTGTTACTTTTATATGCACTTTTCGCTGTACTACTACAGTTAAAAGGAGAAAATGTTGAAACTAAACTTCGGTTGTACACACAGCAGTTATTTCGGTTAAGTTTCTTAAGTAAAGTTACATCCGTATCGAGCGCAGGCGTGCCTCTGACCATTAAAAAAAAACACCTTAAATCGGGAATTACGAAGTTGGCGAAAAAGTTTTTCTCGGTGTCTCCTGCTGTGGCTCAGAAGAGTAGCTGGCACCGTAACCGCAGTCGGACTCCAGAGGTTGTGCGCGCTCCACGATCCCTGGCTGGCGGCCACGGCTGCGCGCTCCCGCAGTGGCAGTCTGGACAAAGAGCCAGTGGCGCGCAGTACCTGGCTCGGAGTGAAAGCAAGAGTTGAAGTGCGCCCCCAAGGCTTTTTCCTCCTCCTTCAAACGTCTTCTAGAAAGTCTAAACGGTGCTGTGAATATTAGGCCTGTTTTTCAGGTAAACGTCGCCCATGTTAACTACATATCTTGTATGGAGTTTTAACCGAGAAATAATTCTTACACCCCAAACAATTATTCACGCAAGAATCGATGGAAAATGTAGCGAATATATGCACCTATAAAAATGTTTGATCAGATCACCCTTAAAGCAACAAGCATATTTTTAAAATGCAACTTGACGGACTAGAATCAGAAATATGAACTACACTTTTGAAGCGTTCTTAAAGATATGTATCAGGAGGACAGCCCACATCGTGATATCCAAAGTGTAGCAAACACACATGGTATGGGGATTGGGAGGGGAGCGAGGGCGGCATTCACCAGACTCCCGAAGAACGAAATGCGCCACAGCCGGTATAGATGGCTAGGTGCCAGAGACAAGCGAAACCCCAGCCTGCCCTGGGTGCCAGAGACGGGGCGAACATCTCACTCCAGGGATGACAGCTCGCTATGACAGTGCTGGCCTTGTGGGCTGCTGGTGGTGCCCTATTCCTTAACGAAGTAGCCTGGCAGCAGATAAACGATCTGCGGGTGCCAGCACGTGCGCGTCAGGGCCGCGGCCGTTGGGTTCTTGAGATCAGGTGAGATTTCATGTCCCAGCAGAAAAAAACTGACTCATCGAGACATTATGAACGCCATCATTTTTCCACTGCAATCGTTCAGGTTAAGGGTTCTCGTATAAGGGATAGAGAGCTGCTGATTCATTAGCCAGCGTCCTGTTGGTCTGGTTACTTAACCACTAGTCCTGAGTTGTTCTGCTGTGTCAAACACACCAGGTTCGTACTCTGCATTTCAGCATTTAAAGCAAAAAATTTTTTTTATTAACGTGGAAGGATGGGGTGTTTTTTTTGGACTGCTGAAGATGCTTTGCTGCATCTGTTGTTGACAAATAAGCTATTTGTATCTGTAAATTTGGGGATGGCTTTGCATTTGATGAAAGAAGCTTCAGCTCCGTTTGAGACAGATTTGTGTTCTGTGAAGTTTTTTTTGTGTGTCATGTGATTCTCCTCTTCAGTTTTTCAGTTGATGCTGTTTTAGCGTTGTGCTTTAGTTGTGGCGCAGGAGTAACCCAGTGTTTGGCGATGTATATTTTCTTGATTTCGGCATGTTTCTGTTTGAATTTGAGTTTTGTGTTTGTGATGAAAAGATAGATCTCAAATCAAGATAGACACCCAAAAATGTTTATGCTTTTATTGCCATAGGCTAAGTCCTGAAAGATCTGAAAGTAACAAGACAGGGCTTGTAAGTGTGTGTGTGCGTGAATGTGTGTGTGTGCGTGCGCGTGTGTGACAGCCGTCGGTGAAATGGCATTCCGTTTATTGTGTCCTGGCATTCCGCAGCCTGCTTCTTCCATTCTGTCTGCGCGGCCCCTGGGAGTGCTGCTAGCCAATCGGGAGTTTGGGGGGGGGGGGGGGATTTGGGTAGCACGTTGACTCGGGATGCATGCGGGAGGGTGGGCTGCAAGCGGAGCTCTATGGGGCAACAAAAGAGAAGAGGAAAAAGGTCCCCCTATACTGTTAGGCACTGACTAATCTCAGGGGGAGGGGGGGGGGACACACCACTGAAACTGGCCTGGCTCGCAGGACCTTCTCGGCTGTCATCAAGTTAAAAATGGGGGGGCCGTCGTATATATTTATAAAACTAACTTTTGCCTGTCAGACTTACATGATAACACCAACACAATTTATAAAGCATAAAACACACATGGAGCTCCATTAAAAAAAACGAGTGATGTCGTTATAGTCCAGTTTAAACTCGCTTCGCTGAAAGCTGTCCTCCTATATCGCACACGTGTACCTGGGCCTTCACTAGAAGCTCTGCCTTGCTGCCCTTACGCCTAGTTGGCTCAGTGACGGCACGTACGTTTGTAACGTGCTATTTGCCTCACTTGTACGTCACTTTGGTCTGCCAGATGAAATAAATGTAATTGTAACTCTGTATCTAAAAATGCACGGGCTAAAGAGCGAGACATATAATCGAGCAATCGGACTGAAGCGGGAGTGAAATATTCCCCCAGACTCCAACTCAACTGTGCACCAGGTACCGTGTGGCTGGCTCAGAATAACGGTGGTCGTTTTACAGGGGTGTATGTCATTTCAGTTAATTTACGTAAATATTTTTGTCTCTCTCTATGTAGTTTAAAATTGGCCTGGCCACATATTTAAAAATCCCTGGAAGATCCTCACTAGTTTATCACCCGAGGAAGACCCCTTTGTCCCAAAAGCGCACACGTTTGTCTGTGATTCACATGAAATGTGACTTTAAGTTATGTGGCTCGAAAAGGGCAGGGGAGGTCTGCATGTGTGAGAGGTCTGCATGTGTGAATTGAACTGCTGCTCCTCTGTAATACATCTAATTCCCCGACCATTATTGTTGTCAAAGTATGTACCCTTAGTAAAACTGTTCTCACCTCCGCCTCCCTAAAGGATTAGTTTCTGCCAGTTTCTAACACGTAAAATAATGTGACCCTGAGGATTTCAGAGGTTTTATCATCTTCCCTGCTGTTCCTGACCTCAAGCAGCAGCCTACACCCCCCAGGTCTCACATTCCAGCCGTCACATTTGAAGAAAGCCCCCCCCCTGTTGTCCAGCCAACATTACCCTATGACAACATGCAATCTCTGCGCATTTCAAAAGAAGCGACCCCCCCCCCATTAACATCCAGTGTGTATCTAACAGGCCGTTTGCTCACTCCGCTGATAAGATGAATCCTCTTACCTGCGGTGGGAGCAGGACCCATCTGCGGACAGAAGGGCACAGCTGGATCCAACAGGATTTCATCGGGGGGGGGGAGAGGACAGGGTGGAGGTACAGTGGGTGTAAAATCCCAGCGTTGATGTGGTAGGCCAAAAAAAAAACATAGTCATAAATAGCTCTGTGAAGTGAAGCGATCAGGAGAGTGACGAGGACGCGGCTCGAGTGGAAACGAGAGGGAGGCCATGGAACCTGGAGCCGGATCACCGAGCGACACGGATGGCGGCGTTTGCGAGGCCGTTAGTGCCGAGCTGTTAGACCGCGAAGGCGAGCCGCGGCTCTGGACGTAGGTCTCACGCACGCGAGCGTGTGCGACGCCGGGGGCCAGCTGGGCAGCCTGAAGTGTAAATGGAGCTCAGTGGGGGGGGAGGTGGGAGCATCAGTGCACTGTTGAGCGCACTCTGCTGGTAGCAGAAGGGATCCTGAGAGCTGCTGCATAGCATGGCACTTGCGGACATGTGAAGCCAAGGCTGCTGTGTCAATATAAAAGTATCTGGGTGTGGATGCAAAAAAGACGATAGCGGTGTCTGCGAAGGTCTAATTGGCTTTTACTGTCCAAATGTGTGTCATGCTACTGCGAACCTGCAATTTCTTTCTGGATTAATGAAGTGTCTGTCTGTCTGTCTGCCTGTCTGTCTGCCTGTCTGTCTGTCTGCCTGCCTGCCTGTCTGTCTGCCTGCCTGTCTGTCTGCCTGTCTGTCTGTCTGTCTGTCTGTCTGTCTGTCTGAAAACAAGTAAAAAGTAATAGATGGCAGACTATACTTTCTTAGTGAGGCTCATTATACTTACAGGGTATGTTTTGGGTGTTGGAGCATGTGACGATCCAAAATGATCTCATGTTTTCTAAGGAGATGCCCCCCCCCATCCCCCCACTCATTCTGCATTGTGGGTCACGCACACAAACATACCAATCTGACATACATAAACTACAACAAAGACGCATAAGCAGTCACTTAAAACGGTTGCTTTATTATTTTATTTTTTTTTTTGCAAAACAGGAAAATTCTGTTCTCAATGTCAACATTTATAAAAGAAAACATTTCTTACCCTTTACAGGGTTTGGCTGACACATGTTTGGATATATTAAGTACCTTTGCGTCAAGGAAACCTGAAAGCACTAAAGTGAATTGTTGGATAGTGTAATAGTCACGTTCAATACGGTGAGCTGAAACACACCCAGGAGAGCGAGTGAAGACAAACCCGGCTCTAAACAGAGAAGCCTACTGCTTTTCCAAAACACCTAAAACACAGAAGGAAATTGCTTTTGGGGCCTGATTCTTCACCCATGACACACGCGTGTCCCGCTTCTTCACCCATGACACACGCGTGTCCCGCTTCTTCACCCATGACACACGCGTGTCCCGCTTCTTCACCCATGACACACGCGTGTCCTGCTTTTACGGGATTCCAGGAGATGGTGGTCTCTGCTTGCAGTCTGTCTCCTCCACACTAACAGAACATTCCATTCAGTCTCCCACTGAGACTTTCGCCCTACTTCCCGAACAAAACTGGACAGTACAGGTGGATAGAAGATCCAGAGCATGGCTTGGAGATCCATAGGACTGAGCAGGGAAGTCACTGATCCCATCAGGGAGGAAGTATGGCCAGAAAAACAGGCTGGAGTTTTTAAAGTGACAGCAAGGATTAGACATTGATATTATTACATAAACAACGACAATGGCTGCATCTGTTACACCTTACTAACTTCACCCCTTCTTCCCTCTCCTATACCATCTGGAAACCCTGTGGTAATGCTGGTGACCCACACTAAGGGGCCAAACATCTCCACAAATTTGGTCAGAAGGGGGGGTTTGTAGAAGTTTCGGGAAGAGAACCATCCCATGCCATTGACATATGTATGGTGGACCTGGTTTGGTGACCTTAGAGAACCCGTAGCACATTAGGAAGACCAACAAGCTTAAACTGATGCAACCCAGGCCAGACTTGACTGTCCAACAGCACTGCTCTTACTGGCTGCAGTTGCTATGGCGGCAGGTTAAATAAACGAAGGCTTGCATTGGGCACCCCATACTGGGAAGGTAATGGAAAGCCTTAGATCACCTGAGCAGCCATTAGGGAATGGCTAAAAAGAATGCAGTTACTAAAAGGAATTTTGGAAGTCTGTTCCCAGATGAAACACAGACATCCTCGTGGTTGTGACACAGAAGCTTGTTTGGCATACCCTGGCATGCAGGGGGCGCTACTACGTGGAGCACCAGGTCCCCTGCTGCTGTGATTTCGATACATCCGACATGGGTGCAGAGACACAATGCCAACATGCGTAGCTCAAAAAAAGGCTTCGGGGGGAGGCCTGTGTGGGTGTGTATTTACAAAATGGGGGCTGGGATGGTCGTCAGCTGGAGATGAGATATGAGAACAAGTCTATAGTAGGTTTTTCCGAGAGCAGTCCAGAGCAGGAAGTCAACAGTGAAACAGACGTTTAAAAAGAGTACGGATCATTCACCCCACAGTCAGTCCTCACTGGGGTGGACATCACAGTGGGAGACCCCAGATTGATTCCAGGGTGGCGTGATGTCATGTTAGAAGACCTCATTGTTTATTCGGATGGAGCTGGGCATGGGGGTGTGGCTCAGTTGATGGACTGCTGAATATCCAATGGGAGCAGGGATTGTGGGTGGGGATTAGGGATGTCCAAGCAGGATGGCGAGCACAGCCAGGATGCTGGCTACCGGGACGATCCCCCCCAGTGCTCTCAGGGTCCCCACACGACCTGGAACCGCCAACCCCCCCTCGGTATCCGTGGCGACTTCGGGGGTCAACAGCTGTTCGTGGAAGGTGAGGTCATCCATGGCTAAGCTGTCGGCAAGGTCTGACAGGTGAAGAAAAGGGAGAGGGAGGAAAGTGAAAAAGAGAGAGAGAGATATGAAGGTAAAGCTCACTGGCGTGAAACGAACAGCCCTATGCAGGTGTTACAGATGTTCTTTGTAAGGAGTGCATTCCTTCAGGAGAATCAGGGGCAGCATAAAAAACTACCAAAAGACACCTGGACCAAACCCATAATCCATCTCTGTGACGCAGATGTTAGGTGCTCTGTGTGCGTGTATACATGGGGTCAGGGCAGCCCCCACCCCCCATAAGCAGGGTGGCCAGACAGCGTGAGACTACACAGTCCCAGTTTTTCTGCGACACAACATGGCCTGAGTATTTAAGAAACGCCCAGCCCGTGGCCCCACCCTGGAGAATCCACAGCCTGGGCTGCAGGATCTGGCTTCTTTCCGGAACATTCTTTTGCACGGTCACCTGCTCTCCGTCTGTGTACCGTTTTCCTCTGCCCATCATCCCCTGAGCATTGGGGGGGGGGGTCAGTGGGGTGGAGAGGGGGTTGTAGCTGACAGTGTCCATGGATCACTATATAAATGAAGCAAGTTGTATACCGCTCGTCCCCCCCCCCCCCCCCAGCCATACCCAAAGGGGATTCTCCAGGCAGATATAAGTACCGAAAACCCCCAGTAGAACAAACTCACAGACATAACAGGCACTTTCATTCAAACCAATGAACAATTTTAGAAATCGCGCGTCTCCCACATTTGGACACATTTTGTGTTTCAGCTCAGGAAATGCAATCTTCCTCAAGGTCCCTGTCTCACGACTCCAAGCTGCCGCTTTATCCCGGATCAGGCGCAATGCGACATGGCGTCCCTCGCGTTCAATGAGACGTTTGCTCTCCCTTCCCTCAACATGCACGTTAAAAAGCACAGATCAGCCCTGAGAGCCACAAAGGAAGATCAGACAAAAGGAAGAAAGAGCAGGACTAGAGCAAACCCTGCAGAACAAGTTCATGAGGCTCAAAGAGGAGCAGAAACCACGGGGAGCCACGGGCGGCAGGGAGAAGTAGGTCAGGTGTTTGTGACACGGACTACAGAATGCGTCTGAGCAAGGGGGGGGTTTAGGGTTGGGGGGTTAGGGTTAGGTTTAGGGTTGGGGGCGCATATTCATCGAAACAGACGTACATCATTGATGCATGACGGCAGAGCACATACTCGGACACATACCACACATCTACATCCACAATGAACACGCAAACGTCCAACTACACACATTCAAACCAACTCATCTGATCTGACACCACAGTACAGAACATAAACCAATGAAACATTTTTTACTCTGTTTACTTTTGGAAAAACTCAGATGTAACCCTCTGCCTCTTCATGTTTTTTTTTCCTAAATTGCTGAAGCCGGCTCACCTCATGATGCAGTTTCTTGCCTCGTGATGCATGTTGAGATTCGGCTAATGCTGTCGATGGTGTGACACTAAATACACGGTGGACAGTTCTGTGCGTACGGCCTAAAGAGACGGCACCTCGTCACGGCAGCCAGGGAAAGCACGAGTATCGGGTGTACGACACTGAACTCTCAGAACTGGAGGCTGTTTCTAGTTTAGATTAAAGCAGTTAGCCTGAAGTAGTTAGGTGTGCCTCACCTAAAAATCACATTCGTGTTTTTAAAACATAAAGATATAATTCAGTAAAAGTCATAAGGACTCAGGAAAAGGGAGTTAAAAGGGTGTTAAGAGAATCCGACAGCACTTACAGTAGGAAAAGAGAACCGCTAAGCTAAGAAAATCTGACAGTACTTACATTAGGAAAAGGGAACCGCTGAGCTAAGAAAATTTGACAGCATTTACAGTAGGAAAAGAGAACCGCAGTGCTAAGAGAATCCGACAGTACTTACAGTAGGAAAAGAGAACCGCGTTGCTAAGAGAATCCAACAGTACTTACAGTAGGAAAAGGGAACCGTGGTGCTAAGAGAATCTGACAGCATTTACAGTAGGAAAAGAGAACCGCAGTGCTAAGAGAATCTGACAGTACTTACAGTAGGAAAAGAGAACCGCGGTGCTAAAAGAATACGACAGTACTTACAGTACGAAAAGGGAACCGCAGTGCTAAGAGAATCTGACAGGACTTACAGTAGGCTCCACAATTATGTGATGGTGGATGTTATTGATGTAGGTTTGACATATCTACATCCACAATGAACACGCAAACGTCCAACTACACACATTCAAACCAACTCTTCTGATCTGACACCACAGTACAGAACATAAACCAATTAAACATTTTTACTCTGTTTACTTTTGGAAAAACTCAGATTTCCATTGTTCTGAAAATGAACCACAATAACCATGCATTCTCACTGTGTTGTTTCATGAGGGTTAAATGTGGGCAACACGTTGAAAAACACGACATCATTACCAAGAGTGGAATTGAAATTTTAAAAAGAATATAGGCTACCAGTCACAAAACTGAAAGAAAACGATTGTCACATTGAGAACGGTTGCTCACACTCACCTTCATCTACACACATATTTATCATCATGCATCCCAGTTCTTATATGGAAATAATTGTTAAAATATGCATTAGAAGCATAATATGTTAGGCCTATAAATCCACTACATATCATATCATTCTTCAGTTTCAAGCATGTTAAAATAAAAACATCATCTGACTAAAAACGCCTCATCCCTTTTTCTGTTTTATGGTTAATATGCTAATTATGATCTGTTATGATCTGCGCTGGTGGTGCATTGCCTGAAATGTGGCCGCTGCTGGGAATTGTGGGATGGCATTATCTCTGTAAAGGATGGTCCAGTGTACCCTCTACTACAGGAGACAAGAAATGAAGCATCGAGGCACCTTTCCTTGGCCCTTTTTAGAGGATTCGAATAGCTCTCGTTATGGCTGCCACTTCTAGACACTTCCAGGTCATTTCACTCAGTTAGGAACCTTCCTAAGAAAGAGGAAGTACGGGAGTGCAGCCCATGTGCTGCAAACACTGTGGAGATGAACCTTCATGATTGTGTGGTCAGGAATAAAGGGTGTGATGTCACACCCAACACATGCCATGATCACTATAAACTCCACCCACACTGCTATAAGCACTAATGTTCTCAATAACATTTCTAATGCTAATTTTACCCCTATAACTACATAGTACATAACTACATACACCATTTTCATTTGGTAAGGTAGTCCTCCTATACTACAATGAACGTTTTATTATTGAATTATGATTGTTCTGTATTTTAACATTAAACATCTATATGTTCTAATTGTTGACGGTAGAAATTATCCACACGTTCTGTGCTGGTCCTTCGTATCGCCGTCGTTCTGATGATTGAAAGTGTTCCGGGAACTTCTCCTGCGTGTTGTGTAAACTGTAAATGAAAAACAGCAGTGGCAGGCAGCTCTGTGCACACCGCCCGAAGACACGGCACCTCGTAGCAGCCAGGTTAAACACGAGTATCAGGTGTACAACACAGAACTCCAGGATCTGGAGGCTGTTTCTAGTCTAGATTGAAGTAGTTAGCCTGAAATGGAAAGTAACAAGGTCAACACATAAAGCAGGGAGTGGCTACAGCGTGGATGTTACAATCGTCACCACATGGGGCCTACTGAAATGGGGCCTACTGTAACGACCTCCTCCAGACTCTCAGGCCTCCAGAGAGGAAACTAGGAGGCCAGTTATCCACACACACACACCTGTACTCATATCTTTATGGGGACCATCCATTCATTTCTATGGGCAAAACCCTAATCCCAGCAAAGATTTTTGCCATTTTTAGTTTTTTGATTGCAGTTACAGATATTAATAGAATTGAATTTCCCCTTGTGGGGACCAAAATGGTGGTCCCCACAATGTTAAAATAAGTTTTTATCACGTTTGGTGCCCACAATGTAATATACACATGAGCACAGACAGACAGACAGACACACACACACACACACACACACA